GGTGCCCCGAGCCCGGGGGAGCGCTCGCGCCGCGGCGCGGCAACTCCAAGGACGGAGAACTTTCTCCAGCGCGGGGCCCGGCCTTCGCGGGTGGGGTGGGGGCGGCCGGCTTCCTGGCCAGCCGGGGTGCTGCTGTGAGTTCGGGGGACCCGCCGCGCCCTGGGGCGCCCGAGGGGTTTCCACGCGGCCTGCGGGCGCGGATGGGGGTGGCGGGGCCGCGGGCGCAAAGCACGGGCACGCGGGCAGCGGGGTGGAGGCCGCATCGCCGCCCAGAGCTTGGCTGCTCCCGGTGCAGAATTGGCCAGTGAGCTCCGGTCGCCGGCGCTGGGCAGCCGACCGGAGTCACCTTCAGCGAGGAGCGGCTGGGCTCTAGGACCTCGCTCCCAGCGCATCCAACTTGTTTTGGTCGTGGGCAGGCCCGGGGACAGGCCAGACCGGTGGCCCCCGAGCTGGGGGGGCCGCTTTTATGTGCATTCTCCCCGTGGCGCGGTCCCCCCAGCCCGCCAGCCCTCTCGGGAAGCGTCCTGCGCGCTCGCTGTTTCTCGCGGGGAGGCTGAGCCTAAAGACTGACTTGATCTCCTTTGCGAGGTTTGGAATTTGAATTGTGGAGGTAAACTGGCTGTAATAGTCTCGAGACAGCTGCCTCTGAGTTGACATCTAATCTGCCATCTGATTGGCTCCCCTCTCACCACTGGGCATTTAGCATTGCTGATGTAAATACCAGTGCTCGGCAGTACAGTCACAAAAATCCTTGCCACAAATAATAACCGAGCTCTATTGCAAGCAGATGTAAGGTCGAGCCTGATTTAAAGCTTCATTTCTTATGAATCGTAGTTATTAATAAGAGGATTAAGTCTATAAAAACAGCCTTCTGCCCTTGCCCTGCGCTGGGCAAAATTAAGTTCTTTGATGACAACCTTGCAGTGTGGACATGGCATAGATCATGGGCTTTAATTGTAGGGGGAGGATATGTTAATTGAGAGATAATTAAACCAGGAACAGTCTTATTATTTTTTGCCCATTTTGGGGGTTAGAAAGCATTTATTGGAGTCAGAAAGCTTTTTACAAAAGCCTGCCCTTTACAAAATTTCACTGTGGGAAGGCAGAAGCCCACAATTGAACTATATTAGAGCACGTGTTGATTATAAAACTAAAAATTTCCAGGTTCTGTTACGCAGCCATATTACATGGTGATATTTATTTGTTTTATGATAGGATTAAAGCTGATTTGGGTTTTTCACATTTCTGACCATTTGGGATTGCGGATGGATGATGAAAACTGATAGAATTGACACATTTAAAAATCATGGAATGTGAAAACTATATTAATAAGCAAGTCTTTCAGATAGCAATCAGTTCAGAGGGAAATTGGATATTCTTTTGAAAAACTGAAAACAATTTTTTTTTAAAGGTAAGGTACTTCAGGTTTGAAGACTGCCGAAAGGCCCCAGAGTCTTTCTCCTGCCTCTCCCCACACCCCACCCCTTGCTCTCGATGATGATCTTGTTAGTTTGGGTAATGTGAGCATTATTTGAATTGCTTACACAGTGAATTAGTAAAAACTAGATCCACTAGCAAGTTGTGCTGGGTGTGTGCCTTCCAAAGGATTGTCTTTTATAGACGGCTCGATGCTGTGAAAGTTTTTTAAGATGCTAATCTGTTTGAAGTAAATATCGTTGGTTGTACTTCTATTTTTACCCAGCTCCTTTATTTTAAGAAGGTGTGTCTTAATAATAATCATATGTTAGAAGATAATGACTTGTCTTAGAGGAGAGGCTTGTTAGAGAGAGTGAAAGACCGAGTTTAACAAATACTGTGAATCCCAAGCTGGATATTTGTGTTCAGTGTTTGCAAGTCTTTCGTTCCTTAGTTAATAATCATAGATTTTCCAATCCATGGGTGACAATTTGGGATTTCCGTTTTTAGGGTTGATTTGCACACGTAAAAACACTATTTCGAGGAGCGGCATGTAAATGAGCTCACATAATTGCTTTTGAAGAGATTTGTTTTGCCAGCTGCTTTTTAAAGGTGCAGATTCCAAAGGCGCGCGCCTCTAAACTAGGAACAAGCCAGTGAAGTTAAACAGGCAGATGTAGGCC